ACCTTAGCAAATGATAAATGGAGAAGTGTTATATTAATAATAAAAATAGGAAGTAGCCTTTCATTGGCTGCCCATGCTCCAGTGGATGACCCCAATGAGTGCACATACAGGCAATAATAATTGTGCTCCATTGTGTTATACAAGATAAAGGGGGGATATGAAGTTGTGATGAGGAGGTGGTTATATAATTCTGTAAAATTATTGTTTCCATTGGGTAGTACCAAATCCCCTTAAATCTTCATGTTCCTTACATACTTATATTAGTGTTTGCATACTAGGACCAATCTCAAGGCATCATGAACTTGTTTCAATGGAGGAAACAAAGGTTACCAGCTAAGTGCCTGCATTCAGCCTTGTTTCTAAAAGGATACAGTGTTATCCCCATTTAGATTTATGCCACAATTGAAATCAGCAAAGACTGGGAGACCTTAGAAGCAAAGAATGGAGGCAAGATGTAGTCTATGATACTGCTGAAACTCTTCAGGACCAGAGAGGACAAATCTTTTCATCTTTCCCTCTGTTTTCCCACAAGAGGAAACTGACCAATGAGTTCACTTTAATGCCAGGCCTGGGTCCCAGACACCTCTGTGTTAGTACTAGATCTGGTAATGGTGTCTGGGATATAGTATGTGGTCACTTCCTAAAGGCTGTACCACTGCATAACAGGTTGGCAAAACAGCCCTTAGTAAATGGTCATTAAGGAAAATCCCTTACTCAAAATGTAATACGGATATTATAGGCTCCTTGGAGACAAATGCTCTGAGACATGTTACATGGCTGCTGTGAATCTTCTGCAGTGGAAGTATTTGTGAGCCCCTGAAAATCCAGTCCCCCAAAAGCATCATGATAGCCATAACATCACTGATGCTGATAGTTCCTGCACCCCTTCTACTGCCATCTCTCCAACTCCAGACTTAGCAATTATTCTGACATCACCTTGAATCTGAGAGTAATAAAGGGAAAGATGGTCAAAACACTCTTGTTCTGAAAGGCTGTATGTGCTGGGTACCAGCTCCTTCTCCTGTGAAAGGATGACTGGAAGCTGGGATGTCTCTCTGAATGTCACCTACTGCTGGTGTGATGATAAAGGCAGGACAAAACACACTCCTCATCCTTCCATTTTTCTCTTTTTAATTTTGTTGTTGATGGAGATTCCTGGTTGTACTCCTGAGTTCATTTATAGCTATTTATAGAGGGTGATGGAGCCTGGGGTCTCCTACTGAGCTGTCTTGCTAATGGTAATAAATAATGTTTCTTTAGTAATTTAGGAAAGAGGCTCACATTCATAATTTCTCTCAGACTTGTTTTTGCTGTCTCAGCCTGGATGATTGTCTTTATGTCTCAAAGCCATCTGAATTTAAATGTAAAAGTAAATGACTCAGGGCCAAGAACAAGAGTTGGTTAAGGATTAAATTCCCCCTAATTATCTCCAGCTTCTAGCAGAAACCTTTGTGTTTCCTGGTTTTTCCAACTCATTATTTCTCCTCCAGAAACTGTACTTTGCTTCATTTTTATAATCTTAACTTTGAGCAAACACCTTTCTCAGCAAGCATTCTTTAATAATGGACTTTTATTGAATAGTTAATATATCACAGCAGGATTTTATAGAGACGACTACTAAAACTTAAAATATATTCAATTTTGTATCCTTTTACTCAAAATCTATCCACCCTGCAAAGAATCTCTCATTGATAGATAGATCTGTACCTGGTCTCCCTCTCATAACTTTCTGACCCTTTTTTCTCCCTTTTCTCAATAGCTTCCAGTGAGAGCTTCATCTCAACTTGTCAAGGAGAGCAATGTACATGCACATAGCCAGTGATATTTTCACTAAAAGTAACAATGGTGGTTCTCTACCTGTTCAGATAAAAGACAGCATTTGCAGAAGAGGATTCTTTGTCCAGGTAAGTACCTCAATCCACAATGTGTCTTTATCCAAGAGGTAACCTCCAACCTTGAACATGTCAAAGTGATGGGTTACAAATGCTTTGGTTGGAAAGAAAATCTTGCACAAGCAATAGCTCTCAGTACACAATAGGGACACTTGAGAAGTTGCTGTTTCTCGAAAGCTGGACTTTTCTTAGGTATCCCCTATGTTTAGATCTTCAGAAACCTTCTCTTCTTCACCAAATCTTGGGTGGTTCTGAAAAGGACACAATTCGAGTGTTCTGACAACCATTTCTTTCTTTTATTTACAGGTTCCATCTGAGAATAATGACTTTGTTTATAAGAACTATGATTTCTATCTAAAAAGGTAATTCAGTTATCTTTCTAAAGACTGAAGAGTTTGAATTTACAGATCAAAATAAACTCAGTTGCTGCAAGAGGAAGCATCGTGTTTCCACGAAGAATTTTATGATCCCAAATCCAGGCTCGGATAAAGGATATCTTGTCTTAGAGGGTAAAGAATGTGGTGTATTTAAGCACAGAAGAGGAGTGGGATCTTCTACAAACAAAAGCTTCAGGTGTGGAAATGGTCCACAAAGCTAGATATTCTAGAACTCAGAAATTCAAATCCTCAGGGAACTGAGAAGCTGCAATTGTTACTGTAAATACAGGATCCTCATGCCTGTGGGGATCTTACTGGTCAGAGTTAATTGCTAGCTACTTTAGATTGCTAGGTTGCTTACTGATGTGATTATCACCACAGAATCATTAAATCATCTCAAGTCCTCCGTGGTTTTCCCATCACAAGGAAATGTATAGATATTATTATTAAAACCAACAAATTTGTGAACTCTTTAATATGTACACTAACATTTACTAACAGCCTGGATAGAATTCAGCTGTTTGCAAGATCTTGTAAAGCAGAAAAAAAATAGTCAAATTTTTCCTGCTACATTTTGTAACTCAAACCACCACAAAACATCTAATATGAGACCTATCTTTCAAGCCAATACTATATAATAGAGTATTTATTTCTTATCTAAATCAAAGAAATATATGACACATGGCGAAATCACACTTGTCTCTTGTGATAATAAATTATATGTGGTCAAACAGTACTAAAGCCTGGCAGGAATGCACAGTTTAAGGGCCTGCTTTCTCTACTAGATAGAAAAACCAATAAAACCCCACGAAAAAGTGGTGATCCCAGACAAAGAGACATAGATAGGAACTTAAGTCTCAGATGATTGCTCTACCACGGAGCACTGCATATTATATAGGAGATTTGTGCAAAAGAATGAAGACAAAGGGCAAATTATAATACATGGTATTTAGATATGATTGTAAAACTCGCGCAATACTGAAGTATTCCTCCAATTTTCATGTGGCCTCTGTTTCTCTATGAATGAGTTTTCTTAGAGTAGTAAGAATAGAGTTGACATAAGGGTAGAATCTTGGTAGATACTTCTGAGGTGAGGGTCCTATAAACCCAACCACTGTGCATTTCCTCCTATAATGCAAGTTAGAACCCTAATCCCTAAGGATGATGGTGAGAGTTGGGAGTCTTTGAGAGGTGATTAGGCCACTAAATTAGTACCCATAGAAAACAGACTACAGACATTTTTATCGTTCTGTTAAGTGAATATACAAGAAGCAATTACAGCCTTCAAAACTATGAGAAATATTCTGTTGTGTACAAATAATCGAAGCTTGAAAGCATTATTTTAACAGCCTAGATTTAGACTCAAAATGTGTTTTTAGTTGCAGCTGAATCCTATAAGCGAGTAGTAGCTAATTAAGTTCAGAGGTTAAAGAAATTAAATATGAATGAATGAAGTGGATTGACTAAATTATCTTTAGTAATGAAGATATTATGGATGGAAAGTGAATGTTCAGCAGTGGAGAATGCTTACTCTTCTCCCATAGTTCTGGAGTTGAATTTCTAGCACCTTTGCTGGAAGACTCACAATTGCCAGTGACTTTTGCTCCATAAAATCTCTGATATCCTCTTCCAGCTTCTTCAGGAATATGTGAACACACACATACACACACACACACACACACACACACACACACACACACACACAGGCAGAGAGAGAGACCAAATAAATACATAATAAAATCAATATTTTTATAAAAACAAAACGCATGTGTTGATGCTGAATTTAACACATTATAGATGTAGACTGATAAAGAATGGATGACTCTCTAGAGAAAAGAAAGAGCAAAAGTGTACAAATTCCATTAGCCAACGTAAGCTTAAAATAGAAGATAAAAAAGTCAAACATATTTTTCCTTGCTAAAATACAATTATTTCATCTTCGATGAAAAGTTTCTTTCTTTTAAATAGTGGCCTAGGTGAGTTTGTACTTGTTTTTATTAAGTATTATGTGAAAAACAAGTTTTCTTGTGCAATTTCCATACATACTTCCTTTGGTTGAGTCTTTTCTCTCTACCTCTCCTTTGTCCCCTCTTCCTACCTCTTATTCTCTTGTACTTGAAGCTTCAAAACAATTCCACACCAGTTAAGAATTATGGATAATAAAAGGGGTTATTTATTTAAGGGGAAAAACTGACAGATGACTATCTGAAACAACAGTCCTCTAGTTGCAAACAGGAAACAGAGAGTCTAGCCACCAGAATGGGAGCTGGAAGCAAAAGAAAGAGTGCCCGGTTCTTTCTGCTTTTTAAAAGTATAAGAGACCACACCCCAGTGGGCTGGTATCATAAAGGCTATTGGCTGAAGGAGCAGAAGGAGCTCCTGCAGCATCTACCCTTCTATCCCACATGGTATCTTCCACGTCCATGTCACATTCATTCTGTTAGCATCTTTATCCTCTCCTTTAAAGCCTCTTGCACCACCAGGATTTTATGAGCCTTTCCCTGCATCCTGGTTTCTACACATTATTCAATATGAATAAACATATGTAAAATTATAAGCTAAGAGTCACATTCTTTTTTTTGGCAATTTTTTTTTATTGAGAAAAGGAGAAAAAAAACCAAGTTTCCACCTCCTCCCAGCCTCCCATTTCCCTCCCCCTCCTCCCACCCTTCTCCCCCTCCTCCCACCCTTCTCCCCCTCCCCCCACTCCTTTCCCCCTCCCTCTCCAGTCCAAAGAGCTGTCAGGGTTTTCTGCCCTATGTAACTGTGTTTGACTTTCTAAGCCTTGGATATCTCACTAAATACAATATTATCCATCCATTAATTTTCCTACAAATTTTATTTTTCTTTAAGACTTGAATGATACTCTATGTTTATATCTTGGTAGACTTTTAGGTTACATCATTTCCTCTTATTATTAAAAAAAGCAACAGTAAACACAATATACAGGTATCTCGGTGGTTGGAGGCTTCTGATTGTTTGCCCTGGAGTGAGCAGTGATATAGTTGGGTTGGAGAGCAATTTTACCTTAAGATTCTGTGAAGATCCACACTGATTTCCATCCTGGCTGTACCAGGTTTTCTCCCATTCTCTGGACCATCTGTTCACTCAGTTCATAGTTGTTTGGGTTGTGTAGAAGCTTTAACTTTGTATAGCCTTATTTGTCAATTTTTGAGGCTATTTGCTGTGCTAATGAAGTTCTAAACAGAAAATTCTTGCCTATCCTGATATAAAGTGTTCATCTGTAGGCTCCTCTGCAAGTTTTGAGCAGTAGTTATATCTATAATAGATATTGTTCAATCATATGATAGAGATATATTATTGGATTATCAGAAAAATGTTAAATTATTTTCTGTGGAAATTGAAATGGTTCACAAATCCAGTTCTAGCATTTCAGACTGCACAATGCCTAGAAGAGAAGTGAGAAAAGGTATTTTATTATGAGAAAGTATTTTTAAACAGTAGGAGGACCATTTGACATATACTGTAATTAGGATATATCAAAATTGAAAGCTTTGACTTTTAAAATACACTTTAAATAAATAAAAGGAGGTAAAATACAACTCAAAGTTAATGTTTTCAAAACATGCATTTGATTGTGTCCCCAAATTTTGTAAAGAAATCTTAGAAACTAGTAATAGTAGGGTGGCCAGATGAAAGTTCAGCAAATGATTTTATCAACCCTGATCACAGAAAAAAAATGGCAAAAAGTAAAAGCATTAGAAGTTATCCAACATCATCAATTCTTAGGCTAATGCTTACAAACATAGCAAAACATCACTCCACACCTTAGAAACACATGTTTAGGAAGGGACACATAGAAAGAACAACTAAACTTTCATTAAGCAGCTGGACAGGAATGGTGGCATACATCTTTAATCCCAGCATTCAGGAGGTAAAGGCAAGCAGATCTCCACAAGTTCAAGAGCAGCCTGGTCTACAAAGTGAGTTCCATGACAGCCAGGGTAACACAGAGAAACTCTGTCTCAAAAAAGTAGAACAAAATAAAAATTCCATAAAGCTTAGTCTTCATGATCCCAACAGCCAATCAACTCTGTAATTAGGTAACTGGCTTCACTTAAAGAGCAGAGATTTCTCTACAAAGCATCTCTAGTGGTTTTTAGGAAGAAAGCAGCAAAGACTGGTAAGGTGGTAAATTCCTAGGGAGGCAGAGGCAGTACGATCACGAGTTCAAAGCCAGTCTGGGCCACATAATGAAATGTAGGCTGTATTAGTTATTTTTCTGTTGTTGGGATAAAACTCCATAACCAAAAGCAGCTTATGAAAGGAGTTTATTTTGGCTTACTGTTCCAGAGAGATGAATTTATTATGATGAGAATTCATCCTGGTGAGGAAACAGCAATCATCAGCAAGCACGGCCAGCAGAAGCAGGAAGTTGAGAGCTAACATCTTCAAATGGAACCACAAGGCAGGAAAAGCAGACTTGAAGCAAGGAGAGGCTATAGCATCCCCAAATGTGCCACCAGCGAGTACTTCCTTCACTTTTGCTGAACAACACAAACCCCTCTAAGGAGCGCCTCCCGCTGAGAACCGATAAGTCAAATAGCCCAGCTGATGGGAGTGTTTCTCATTCAAATCACCACATAGGCAAATACTACTTCATTAATTCCAATTTATTTCTTTGGGAAATGGAGGTTCTTTTAAGCTGCTGTCCACAGCTTGAAATGCAGGAAGGACAGAGAGACAGGGAGAAAGAAAGAAGAGTGAGGAAAGACAAAAATAAAAGAAGAGACCTAATTTAAACCCAGGGGCCTGGAGAAAGAGCTAATGGGGTCCACTGGGATTTCCAAAACTGTGACTGGGAAGAATTCAAACACAACAGGCAGATTTGTGCTTTAAATCCTACCTAACTTCCGACTGTGCTGCTGTATCCAGAAACACTCCACGTCAGGTTCTCCATATTTTCATTTAACTTTTAGACAGCCGATCTCTGAGTTATGGATTATATGATATGTATTTTATTTCATACAAAGACTGTACAAGTATTAAGTCACATACTTAAGAAAACAGAAATGAGGGGTCTTTATTTTATTGCACATTGAGTCAAAATGTATGAAGTCAAATCAAAAGATTCATATACCTGGTTTGTATCAAATGAACCCTTCTGCCTGAGCTGAATCTGGCACAAGCTGTTCGGGCAGTTACATAACCCTGCATTTGCTCTGCCTACATATGTGCCTGCTGGAGCTTACTGCCAGCGCTGCAGAATTTAGACGAGGAATTTGCACAGTCAGTCCTGGAAAGAGAAAGAGAGCAGCAGGTTCAGTTCCTAGTAACGACCTAGGTCACAGGGGTGGGCAGGGCATCCAGGGGTCACAGAAACACAGAAACAAGTAGGATCGCTGCCAGATGCCTCAAACAAAACCTGGAGCCAAGCAGCCATCAGGATCTCCAAGGCGTCCACTGGGACACAAGTCAACGCTTTCTGGGGAGAGCAAATCCTCCGGGTTGTTCCAGGAAGCTTTCATTAGTAACCACCCCAGCCAAGTCCTGTTCTACAACATCATAAAAATGCTGTCCTGACAACATATGCCTGGGCTTACTGTGCCTCTTTCTAGTCTTGTTTTCCTTGTTTCTAATGATTATTGTCTGTCAATGAGCTCAGTGATGTAGATAATTGTGAAGCCTCATTGCCTCTTACCTCAACCAGATAATTGCAAACCTTGTAGAATCGTGCCTTACTTACAGCTACACCTCTCTCCTGACTATGTTGGTAATGTACCACAGATTAAATGATTGGTAAATTATTTGCTGATTACATTTCCTTCTCTCCTAAATTTAGAGAGCCCGTTCTGTGTTAACAGCATTAAAAAGACCATTTTGGTCCTTCTGTAGTCTCACTATGTGTCTGACAAATGACTTAATTTTTTTTTTAACTTCATGTGGCCACATCCACAAGATGTAATGCCTGAATGTAGAGACTGGAACAAAGTTTTATCTGATAGACACAAGCTTGAAATAGACCTTTTAGAATAATAAAATACATCTGCATTCATTTTCAGGATAATTATATTCTAGGTTTATAACCTTACAATTTAGAAATATTCAATTCAAGGCATATAAAATTCACTTACATGTTGTCAGATAACTAAATTTCTGGAAGTTGAAAAATAATTTTGTGACAAAATAGAGTTTTGTCAAATAAACAAAAATAAATTATTATCCATCAAAGGCTTAAACTTATATTTATATTAAAAGAGGAAAAATGAATTAGGGCCATCAATAGCTCATACAAATTCCATATAAAGAAAACACTGACGGGGAAAAACATAAAAAATACAAAGTGATTGCAAAATGAACTTAATTTCAAGTTACAATTTGTAAGGAAATAAAATTGATCTAACTACACTCTACTTTCTAAAATACTGCTCTAATCACTAAAAACATTTGGTAGATTAAAAATGAGAGAAGAAATACAAACAAAAATGATATGTGGCACGAAATCACGGGTAAGTAAAGAATGTCTTCATGGTACTTATCAGTAGACATCACTCCTATCAAAACCTAATGAAGAACCACTCTTTCCCAAAGAACAGGTATTATATTAATACATATGCATATATAGACATGCATACGTATATGTCCATGGATTGGAAGAGAGAATAACAGTACTGGTTGGATTTTGCATTATCTCAAGAACAGTCACATTCCTAGACACACAAAGCAGCTGACAGCGGCATTTGTTCTATGATTAAATTCAGTTTTATCTAAGAACAGTGAGAATTTTCCAGGGCAGACTTTGATTATTGGTCTTGGAACTGAGAAAAGGCATGAATAATTTCCCAGCTAACAATCAGCCTCAAGATAGATAAGTATACAGTGACTCAGCAAAGGAATAAAACATCCTAAACTTTAATTTCTACAGAGAAGCTTTCCCTGCCAAGATTCAGCCCAGAAACAGACACTCCTAATGTCCCCCATCAAGGATTGATGGGCCACCTGGGACCTGAGGAAACAAGTCAAAGAGCTTTAACAATTCTACCACAGCCTAAAAAAAAAAAAAAAAAGATTCTGAAAGCATCAGCAACCATGCTTACCCTGGTCAAAAGACACAAAAGACACAATGAGAAACAACAACAAAAACACAAAATTTGGTGCAGCCCAAATGTACTCCCAGAACAAGTCAAATTTATTTTATAGTAGATAAAGGAAGCCAAACACACTGACTGTAGATACAACCCTTAATATAAATGTACATTCTGAAGCTTTATTGAGGAAGTCATCATCAACAGTAAAGGTACACAAGCCTGTACCATCCATTCTAAAAACTGGCACTGTTGTCAAATCATGTGACTGGGGGACACTCGATATCTTGAAAGGAAGTTGAAACAAAGGCAATGAGTGATGGTTTTCTAATGTCACAGGGTTAATGCAACATCGTATGGAGAATGGTAGCATTCCCACTAGAGTGGAAACATCTGGCATACATAAATCAAGGCCAGGGTACCATGACAAGTGGATCACGACGGAATTATAGGAATTTAAAAATACACACACTAAAATTTAAAGCATCCTAAGAAGAGAAATACATCATGAGCTCACAACGCATTTTTTTCTTCTTCCAGAGGACGTGCATTTTTTGCTCTATCAAGATGCCAGTATAAAAATGCATGTGGTTATTAAATTGTGTTTATAAGTTCTTCTAATACCCAATAAAGATGGTTTAAAACTGTGCTAGAGTAACACTGCCTATACATATAAATGATTTAATTATTTTCTAAAGATAAGTGGTGACACAGATACTAAAACAGAAGTAAAATAATATTGTATCAAAAATAGTATTCATTTGTTTCAATAATGTAGCCATGGTTTAATATTAAAGAAAGAAAATGATTTAATTCAATTCCTTAAAAACTAACAGAGAAAATACAATGCTACAATAAGGCATTCAGTAAAATTTAAGCATTTATTACCAATCAATACCTGCACATTCTAATGTGGTATAATTCCCCAGTCAATCCTAGATTCCTCATAAAGTGATACAATCCATTTCTATGGTTTCAGGAAAGAAATAGGTGTCCAGAAATATCCATGTGCTCAGCCCTGGAACCTGATCTTCCAGTGTTACAATGAGGAATCAAAGTTGCAAACAGAAGGCTGTCATCACCTGATCTCTTCTAGAAAACCTAGTCTGAATGTGTCTTGTAACATTTCATGTAATTTCTCATACGTTTTCCAAAATTTGTAGGAACATCTCCTCTTTGTTTGCTTGCCATAGCCTATGTTTCTTACTGATTCTCATGTTCTGTGTTGTGTATCCAGGTCCCCAGACAAGCCTAAGAAAGAACTGTGTGAGAACATAAGCATCATATGGAGTTACAGTCATAATGAACATAAGAATGAGTATGTATCAGTAGAAAGAGGACAGAAGAGGAAAGGAGAGGAGAGGAGAGGTGAGAGCAAAGGCTTTGAACATTCTGCACACTGCACAGAACAGGGATTTTATTTTACATGTTAGAGTAGGAGCAGTCTAACTGACATATAAGTGTAAAAAATGAAGTATTTACCATATAAATAGTGAATACCATAAAAAGTGCAAAAAATAGAGTATTTACCATATAAGTACAAAAAATATAGTATTACCTTAAAATCTAGCCTTTCGACATGCTCAGGAAATAAAATTGTGACAAAGTAAAGACAGGTAAAACAAAATCTGATTTTAATATCCTAATTTTCAGAGATCTTTGTAATCATGACATAATAGCCAGAAACAAGAAAAATGCTTTTATTCTTGAACACTTAATAAATATTTTATAACAAATCATTCTATGATCCACACAATTTATTTTTAAAGTTGAAGAAATTTCTATAATTCCTTTATAGTTGTTATTTGCACAAATTCAAGTAGTTGAATGTATTAAAGTCCTGTCTTTGGAAATGGAAATCAATAAGAGCAAGTATTTCACAAACTTCTCATTAACTATGAAAAACTAGATGAAAATAACAATTTTCAGAATTGGCCAGTATAGTAATTTATTTTCAAATTGCTGTGACAAAGCACATGACAGAAGAAGCTTACAGAGTGAAGGGTGTGTTTATCTGTGTTCATATTTTGTGGGTGCAACCCACCATGGTGGGAAAGGCATATCAGCAACAGCACAAAGTCACCGGCCATGTTGATTTCACAATCAGGAAACAGAGAGAGATAAATGCTGGTACTCAGCTCAACTTCTTCTTTTTGTTCAGCCAGGGAACAAAATCCATGAATGTTCCCTCCACAGTCTAGGTTACCTCTTCTTTTTTGAGTTAAACATCTCTGGGAACACCCTCAGAGACACATACAGAGATGTATGTCCATGGTGATCCTAAATCCAGTCAAGCTGACAATGAAGGTCAACAGTCATATCTGGCATAGAATGCCCTACTGTGTCCAGAATTATAATAGAAATATAGTGAAATACTTTATCCATTAACCAGCAAAGTTCAAAGCACTTAATACAGAGTTGACTAGGAGACAGCATTCCTGAGCATTTAAAGAATGACAACTGACTCACGTAGTAGGAGGCCTCTTGCTTGTTCCTGACTGTTTGGCAGCTCAGAACTGAAATAACCACTCAGAAACTGTATTAATTAAATCACTGCTTGGCCCATTAGCTCTAGTTTCTTATTGGCTAGCTCTTACATCTTAATTTAACCCATTTCTCTTCATCTGTTTATCGCCACATGAAAGTGGCTTACTGGCAGGGTTCCATCTGGTGTCTGACTCTGGTGGGGCTCCATGGCTTCTCCTGACTCTGCCTTCTTTCTGCCAACATTCAGTTTAGTTTCTCTCACCTACCTCTGTTCTGCCTTGCTATAAACTCAAAACAGTTTCTTTATTAACCAGTGGTATTCACAGCAAACAGAGGGGAATCCCACATTACCTTTCCTTTTCTGTCTAAATGAAAAGGAAGCATACAGAGGAGAATCCCACATAAGACTCAATGTAATTTGTAAGACCTAACCTGTCTTTGTAGTGATAATGTGCAAATTTGCTCAATGTTAAATCATAGACTAGTCATTATCTAGTGTTTGTAATTACAACAAGATAAGAACATTTATAAAACTAAAACGGTGAGGAAAGAAGGTTGAAAAGAGTAAATGTCAAGAAAGCTAGTCACAAAACAGTAACAATTACACCACACATACAATAGAAAAGCCTCAGAATGTGTACAGAACTCCTAAACATGGAACACTGACAAAGAAATGAAAAGGGCCCACTTACACCACTTTACATGTGGTTTTTGTTTTCTTTTTTTTTTTTTAAATTTATTTATTTATTAAGGATTTCTGCCTCGTCCCCACAACCGCTTCCCATTTCCCTCCCCCTCCCCTGATCAAGTCCCCCTCCCTCATCTGCTCGAAGAGCAATCAGGGTTCCCTGACCTGTGGGAAGCCCAAGGACTGCCCACCTCTATCCAGGTCTCGTAAGGTGTGCATTCAAACTGCCTAGGCTCCCACAAAGCCAGTACGTGCAGTAGGATCAAAAACCCACTGCAATTGTTCTTGAATTCTCAGTATTCCTCATTGTCCGCTATGTTCAGCTAGTCCGGATTTATCCCATGCTTTTTCAGACCTAGGCCAGCTGGCCTTGGTGAGATCCCAATAGAACATCCCCATTGTCTTAGTGTGTGGGTGCACCCCTCATGGTCCTGAGTTCCTTGCTCGTGCTCCGTCTCCTTCTGCTCCTGATTTGGACCTTGAGATTTCTGTCCGGTGCTCCCGTGTGGGTCTCTGTCTCTGTCTCCTTTCATCGCCTGATGAAGGTTAATATTCCTGATCTACAGTATCTCTGAGCAGTAGAAGTTGGTAGGTAATTCTGTGAGATTCAACCACACATGAACAGAAGAGAACTTCTGACAAAGTCATGAGATTTTGCTTGTCTCAGTTACTGTTCTATTGCTGTGAAGAGCCACCATGACCAAGGCAGCTCTTATAAAAGAAAGCATTTAGGTGGGGGTTTGCTTACCTTTTCAGAGTTAGTCTATGACTATCGTGGTGGGAAGCATAGAGGCACACAGGAACAGAAGATGAGAGCTTCACATCCTAATCTACAAGCAGAAGAGAGAGAGAGAGAGAGAGAGAGAGAGAGAGAGAGAGAGAGACTAAGCATTAGCAAGGGCTTTTAAAACCTCAAAGCCCACCCCCAGTGGCACACCTTCTCCAAGAAGAACGTACCCCCATACCTCCTAATCCTTCCAAACATTTCATCAACTGGAGGTTAAACAGGCAGATATATGAGCCTATAGGGGTCATTTTCATTCAAACCACCAAAATACTTTGGGAAGAGAAAAACCAAATTGGTAGAGTCCTTGGGCAAGGACTCAACTACACTACCTAAAAATTCTTATGAAGGATAGACACATATATTCAATCTGATATTTAGGATATCCTATAACCCTACTGGCAGTATTTCATTCCATCCAGAAGCAGTCAAATAAGTCTTCTCAAATGATTCAGGCTGGAAAGATATATAGATCCCAGTTAGTTTTCTCCAGGCCTTGCTTGACAATAGTCCAGGCTGTCCAGAAACAGTGCTGCCAAATTGAACCATCATTGTCATTGGTTACAAACGATGGCCAACTCAGCATGTGTGATGTTTTAGTTCCTACCTCACTGCCCCATTTTCTTTCTTTTGTTTCCCAGTGACTGCATATCCTAAGAAATTGTAATTTATTAACTTTTGCCTAATAATAATTTCTAAGGAATTGGTCTTCACCTTAAAAGGATATTTACATGAACACTTTCTCCATCTAACAGACAATAGCTAAAACCAAGTTTTCCAAAACAAAACATTTTGGTTCTTCATTTATACATATGTATATGAAAACAACTAGTGAAAATAGAGGTCATAGATTTGAAAGGACCGAGGAAGGATGTGGGAGGATTCAGATGAAGGAAATAGAAGGGGGAAGTTATCAAACTGTATTGCATTCTCAAAAAAGGAATAATTAAAATGAAATTCATAAAATAAAACATATAACTTCCAAAATTTAATTTCCTAATTTGTAAAACTCATTCCCTCATTAATAAGCATTTATTTTATCTATGCTATCCTCAAAATATTTTACTAAATATTTCAGAATTAAAAAGATAAATTATATGAGTCAAAATTCTAGATAAACAAGTAAGTACATTGGACATTATGATGAATTGTGAATTGTGAAGAACAGAATTACTCAATTTCTGTTCTTCAACAAGAGACAAACATCAGACTCAACCTTAGTGCTTTCAAAGGACTTAGTTCTTCCTTGGTCAATTGGCAATGGTTTTTAAAGGATATATGCTATCTAACTAAGACCATGTTAAAAAGAGAAACCAGAAGAATATTATAGAAGTTTTACTGCTCTTGGGTAACTTTTCCTCCTCCTGGGTTGCCTCATTCAGTCTAGATGTGAGTGTTTGTGCCTAGTCTTATTGGAACCTATTATGCTGTGCTATGTTGATATCCTCTGGAGGCTCTCTCTCTCTCTCTCTCTCTCTCTCTCTCTCTCTCTCTTTTCTGCCTCTCTCTCTCTCTCTCTCTCTCTCTCTCTCTCTCTCTCTTGAGAAGGAGTGGATCTGGGGAGAGGAGAGATAGTGGGGCAAGCTTGCCTGGGAAGATTGGAGGAAGGGGAAAGTGGTCAGAGGAAATTCATGAGAGAAAAAGAAAAAAAATAGAAATTCAACCCACCCAGTGTGTGAAGGACTCAACAGATGACTAGAGCAAAACTGAGAGAAGTTGGGAGGAACAATGAGTAGAAGTGGATTTGCTCCACCAAGAACTTGTGCTCTGCTAAATTAAGAAGGCAAAGAATTTCTAAGGAGAAGAATGACAGAACTACAGGGGCCAGCAATGCAGCTCAGGGGGTAAAGGTGTGTGCCACCAAGTCTGATGACTGTGACCCACATGGTACAAGGAGAAGATTAACTCCCACAGTTGTATCAGACCTCCACAGAAGCACTGTGGTACACACAATACACACATACACACACACACACACACACAGAGAGAGAGAGAGAGAGAGAGAGAGAGAGAGAGAGAGAGAGAGAGAGGTGCCATGCACATGCCTAAATAATTATAATGAAAAATTTATAAAAGAACAAAAATTAACATGAATACATCAGGTGTCTTTTCACAAATCTCTCATCTAAAACCCTGTGATCTTACATCCCAGCATTGCTTAGAAAGACTCAGGTTAAAAGTGATATCAGCCTAGATACAGTGGGGAGGGCCTTGGTCCTGTCTCAAGTGATGAGACAGACTTGGTTGACTCCCCATGGGTCACTTCTCTGTGGAGTGAATGGGGGTTTGGGGAGGAGAAGATGTAGGAGTGGGAGGATGGGAGGGAGAGAGAACTAGGATTGGTATGTTAAATAAGATTGTTTTAAAAATAAAAATAAGAAAAATAATAAGTGTGGGTTTAAGCTCCATATGCTCTCTGATTGCTTATTAATGAGAGTGCAATAAGTATGGAATAATGGCGGCTTGGTACTACAAAGTAAGTTGTTTGTACATGATTCTGGCAGAATACTGCTCTTTCCCTTGAACTACATACTGTAGTAAAGACAGTGCTAATCTAATAATATCTGAAAGTGCTCAAGATTATGAAGGGTTTAAAAATATTTTTCTGGTGAGGAAAATATACCTTCTTCAAATTTTAAACAGCTGTCATGTGAAAAAAAAATTAAAGGAAAGAAAGCAGTCCTACACGGTGGAGCTAAAGCCTACAGATTTAAAAAATATTGATAATCCCTGACAGTTCTTTGGGAAGAAAAATTCTACTTTATTATATAGAAACAGAACTTGATGAAATTTAACTTCTCAAGAAGAGAAACACTGCCTTTGGACACAAAAATTCAAGAAGCAATTCCTTCTTTGAGGACTAGTTCTGGACTGGGAGCATTCAAGAGCAACTTTTCCTTTTAATTCAAGGAAATTAGACAAACATGTTTGAAAAGAAAGAGTATAGACTTTGAATAAAAGATAGTCCAGTCAGTGGCTTGTTAAAGAGGGGGAAATGTGACCTCCAAGAACATACATCAGATTCCTGAAAATACATCGCTGACTAATGTTGCTGACTACTAAGATATGCATGCATAGAATGAAGACATAGGAGCAAAGGAATGCTTGATATTGTAAAAACTCACATTAGCCTGAGGTATGATTGAGTCCCAATGGGCCAGACAGAGATATGTTTGCTGATCACCCTGAGGGCTGTGCTGAGAATACAGAGAAGCATCTAGCATAGACGCGATACAAGCCCTGTATTAAAGCTTGCTTACAGCAAAAGGCTAATTCAGATCCACATTAATAAAATTTATAAACCAATTTCAAAAGGATTATCTTTACTTGCTGCAACTTAATTCTCTGCCAAGACAAAGATGCATGAGTCTTTAAAACATGAGTACAAACTGAATCTAGCAACACAATGATTAAGTAATTCTGTTTCCAATAAAAAATGACTATGTATGGACAAGAGGAAGAGACATGTGCCCCAGAGAGAGAAAAATTTATTATATAGAAGCTGAGCCAGAAGGGAAACTGAACTTAGCATTGTGGGGCAAGAATTTAAGGACTTTGTGATTTCCTGAAGTATTAAAGAAGAAATAAAGCTAAGAAGAATGAAAAACTCAAAATAGAGAAAATTCATCTTTGAAGGATGAAAACTATGCTATCTAAGATGAGAAATGTAAAGCCATGCTTTCCTGTGGAATTGGGTTCAATGGGGCAGAGGAAATTATTTATGGTCAGAAAGCACAAGGATCCAATCTACAATACTGCGGCAGTGGAAGAAAAAATTAGTGCATCCTTGATGATTTGAAGAACAATACTGAAACTGAGAACAAAGGAAGAAAATAGAGAACATCCTTAATACCTTGAAAAATAATGTGTATAGCATTTCCTCAAGTGAGGAAAGGATAAAGTAAGTGAGCTAGCCCCAAATAGGGTGAAGACTATAAATCAAACAGATGCATATAACTAACAAAGAGAAAGGTGGTTCAGTCAGCCTCTTGAGAAAGGTCATGGACCACACAGAAGAAAAGAGAGTCTGAAGCAATGAAAGTCAGTTTTAAAGCACTGGTGAGGAGAAAATGCTTATTAACTCAGTTCTTTAGTTAAGAAACCATCCTTCTGAAATGGCAAGCTAATATTTTCAGACAGACATGAATTAAAGAGTTTCTAGAAACACAAGTCAACTGTAAAGCACTGTGGGAAAAATAAAGCTACAAAGCTCATTGATGTTTCAAATTACAGAGTTTTTTAAGAGCAAATTACAAACAATGAGTAACTATAAGTTCTCTGGAAACATCAATTAGTAAGTTCTTTCTGTATATCACTCTAATATAAAGCAACCAATTGGTTAAACAGCAACTGATGGGAGCCAGGCAAGGTGGTGCACACCTGTGGTCTGAGACGGGGCATAATGAGTTTGCAATCAGTTTAGACTACACAGTGAGAAACCCTGCATCAAAAAATGAAAAGCAAAAAGGCAGATGAGAACTGATGGACCACTCAGGAGCTCGAGTGTCAACTGCCAACCCAAGGAAAAGATGTCATGAGAAGAAAGGACAATGAAAAAAATAAAGCACACCCACAATAAAAAATTTCATCCAAAGGCGAGAGTTCTAAAACTTTCTGCTTTGTTAACAGAGACGACCGACTGCTAAAACATGAAACAACTGAAAAGTGGACACGCGCACACTCTATTTATTCTACTAATTATATCTCAACGATAACAGGTATGTATCAAATCAGAACGTGTACAATATTCACATCTGTTTTGTGATAAAACTCATACTACCAAAAATCGATATCCTATGGTACAAGTGTTCTGTGGTCTGCACAAGTGAGCCGAAAATATCACAAAATGGCACCTTCCATTGAGCAGCAGCCTTCAAACCATTAAAGAATAGAAATTATATAGAACATGTTCTTTGATGACAGAAAAGATAAATTTAAAACAAAAACAAACAATGTAGGGATTTAAGCAGTTCCTGAAAATTGTGGCCAATATTGGTGTTAGCCATCTAAATACTCGGCCTGGTGGGGTGAGGACACAAATGATTT